TGGCGAAACATTTAAGGATGGCTTAACACTTGGATAAATTTCGAGAGTAGCTCACGGCCTTACTTGCTCTCTACAATGCAAGAGGATAAACTAATTTCCTAACAAGTAAGCTCTCCAATGCGAGGAGGTAAACTAATTCCCCGACACGTATTTGGGTTTGCTCTCTAGTGCAAGAAGGTAAGCTAAGAATTCCCTGACATCGATCTAGTTAAGTTATCTAGTACAAGAGGGTAAACTAATTCCCCAACACCTATCTGGGTTTACTCTCAAATGCGAGAGGATAAACTAATTCCCTGACACCTATCTGATAAGCTCTCCAGTGCAAGAGGGTAAACTAGTTCCTTAACACCCATTTGGGTTTACTCTCCAGTAGGAGAGGGCCAACTGCCCATGAATTTCTATACAACTACACATTTTTTATGTGATTAGTTAACAATTTTCATATCCCACAGATCTTTATCATGTTATGATGTAGGCACGTAGGTCAAAGGATCGAATACTCAAAGACTAACTAAGCAGCACATGGTCAGGGGCCAAAAACTCATAACGAACTCAAACAGCTCGATTTTGCCCCAAAAAGTCAAAGCTTTCAGCCATAAGTGACTTTGTGGGATCGTTTTTTTTTTTTTCAAAACAACATGCCTAGCCAACGATCCTCTGGCTAAAAGTTTTGCAAGATGCTTTAAGCAAGCAAAGTTTCAAGAAAAAATAAAGATGGACTAAAGAGAAGAAAGAAATTTATTAAATTTCTAGGTAATTGATAAACTTGCACAAAGGTTGCTAACATCCGGCACATGCTAAATATAGTAGACTACTCATTTAGTAGCTTGGATGACCTTGGGCTCTCCAACAGCCATCCTACCTTCAGCAGCTACTTCACACTCATCAGTTTGCTCATCCGACTTTTCATCTTCAGTAGCTCCAATCTTGGTAACTCTATCCTCGAATGTTCCATCTATGACAACTGAAAAATCAAACTCAAGCAGATCCGTCCTTCTTGGCAAGCAGCACAGACGTGGTAGTAGTAGAAGAAGTAGACTTTGACGCCTCTTTAACAACCGAATTCATTTTTCCACGTGACGGACTTTCTTCCCCTACCTTTCATAATGGCGAGCCTTTCAGAAGCCGATCCAGACTTAGCCACAGTTGGATATTTCATTTTATCTTAGAACTTGGACGGTGGAAACATATCAACGTCAAGCTTTCTGAAAGCAGTAGAATGACTTCTTCTCAACTGAAGCTCCAGTAAGCAAGCTAACCTACTAGCATGGTCCCGTGTAATTCTCCTCGGATCAGGCTGAGCCAACTCTTGGCCCCCGCCAACCAATCGCACCACACGAACCTGAAACAGCTCCTGTAAGTTACCTTACCTGCACTGCATCCCCGTGGCTACCCAATTACTTCCTCAGCCCCTGTTGAGCCATTCCACCAAGCCTCGAGGCTCTAGAAACTTAAAGATGAAAAATTCAACTCTCTGAAGTGGCAAGCAAAAAAGAAAACTAGATGAGAGGTTTACAATATTCTTTACCCATTTCCTTCTTTCTTAAATTGTTATGGGATTTTATTTAGCCCTCTGCTTAAGACATGCTTATATAAGTCTTGGTGGCAATTGGCTTCCTTTTCCCATGACTACTTTGTTTCCAAAACAAGGTGAAAAAAAATACATCAAATTGGGAAACAACTCTCTGCACACCTTAGCAGCTTAGATCTCTACACCTACTGCCCTTTTCTACTTTCAACCCAGCAAGTGTGGGGCATTTGCGGAGCCAGAAATAATCCAAAAAATCCATAAGGCGATACATAAACTTTTTCTTAAGGAAGACAAGATTGCCCTCATTAAATGGGTAGGACCCTTAACTACTCCTATGCACAGCTTAACACCCCTGAAGGTTCAAGCAGCTGATACGACTACTCAAACCTCCTTGATTCGTGCCATGGAAAAGTCAAAGGTATTAAAGATAGAGTTAATTACTAAATTCTATCTTTAATACATTCTCAATTGAAGATTAACTCAATCAAGTAATGAATTCATATCACAACCAATTGGGGATACTTCAACCATTATCCCAAGATATTTTTCTCCTAATTAATATCCTGGGAATATTCTTTCCTCATTCATTAAACGGATGACACACCTTGGCCAATAGGATGTCGCCATGTGTAGGGCAAAATCTTAACCCCATGGTCAGCCATCTCCTATTAATACCTCAATCTCCACCAAATTTTGGTAGGCGTTTTGCAAAACACTTACTCTTTTCAAAGAAACTAATTTAGGTATCGTAAATCCACTAGCCAACCCCCTCCCCCCTGACCCACCTTGTGGGTGATTGAAGTGTTGGTCTTTGATTAAAAGTGTTGATTGTTTTGTAGGTACAAATTCATTAAGACTGAAAACGGCGAATTTTTTCTACCACAATATGAATCAAACTCATAGTGCCTAACGCTTATATATAGACAGCACACTCACCTAAACCACTATGGAATGCCTAAGTTTTGAACCTTTGGGGATAGAGGCACATTAACCTAAGGGAACTTTAACGAAAAACACCCGGTACTGTTCACTTTAACGAAAAACCACATTTTTACACTAAAAAGTCAATCCTGGTTCTATTCACTTTACCTTTTATTTTGTCCTTATCATTAAAACTCAAAGTTTTCAAGCCCTTTTCATTAGTTTTCCTTTAACCTAAATCATTATATATTGTCTCAAATGAGAAAGTCCTTATAGTGTAATCTTAGTTTATATAGTTTAAACAGTTGATGTCCAATAATAAAAAGGCACTAAAAACCCACAGTCGATCTACACCGTTGAATGCACATAAATTTTTCTCGCAAGTGAAACTTTATCATGCAACATTAATCTCATAAGATAAGAGATAGAAATTTGATTCATTCACTGCTCATTAGTGATTATTTCCTAAAACTATCACATCAAATTGTCTAGTAGCCATCTGCTAAATAAATTGAAGAAGATCAAATGATAAAAATTTGACCTTTCTATCAACTTGTCTAGTTGCATCAAATTGTCTAGTTGACCTTATCTGTCCTTTCTATCTCCTTTAACCATCTGCTTTTGCCACTTGTTCAATTTAATTATAGTTGACAATAATTTCTTGTGGAAAATTTTGTTTCAATGTATCCAAACACTCATTTTTATTTCTTCCACACTCTTAATTTTCGTTCGTTGGATAGATAAATTGAAGAAGATCAAATGATCAAAATTAATAAAAAGTGTGAGAAGTTAAAAAGATGTGTAAACTACATATCTACCCGTTCCATCTCAAACTCAACTAAGTTCTATATACAACTAAACAAAACTTTTCTACCTTTCGGTCGGAATTTGACATCACTTAAAGATGTAAGACAGGATATTTAACTCAAACATATTGACTAAATTGTAGCTATGGTCTCTCAACTAAAAATTCATTACCATTGGTCTCTCAACTCATCAAAACCTGCATCTATGGTCCCTCAACTAAAAACCCATTACCATTGGTCCCTCAACTTTAATTCAACTGGAGAAATTGTTCCTTAACTTTAACCCAATTGTAGCAATGATCCTTCCAACATAACTCGTCTTGACAAAATTTTTGACGTAGTTGACGAAAAGGACCATAATTACACACTTTGATGAGTTGAGGGACCCTAATTATATAAATGGTTATTCCAACATAACTTATTTTGACAAAATTTTGGCGAAATTGATGAAAATGACTATAGCTATTGTTGACCCTAAAAACTACTAAGCCTAGTGGCGCGCAGGCCGAGTAATCTATGAGTTAACTACAACCTTCAGTTGAATGCGGGGCATGCCAACTCGTCGACCGAGTTCGGTCGAGGAGTAAAATGTGTTGATGTTGCGTTGAGTGCGCAGCCGACTTCTGTGTCTTGCGATTGCGACCGAGGAAGGAACACATCTTGGCCTCTTGGGTTCTCAAACTTGAAGACAAGGCTACTATTCTTACAAAGTTTACACATCATCGTCGTTGGATTCGGTCACAGTGATGGTATTTGTCAAAGTAAACTCACGCCGAATCGACACCAAAGTGTAAAGGCACAAATACTCAAAGCGGATATAAGTCTTAACAATAAACGTGGTTTGGCCATCGAAGTGCCGAACTCTAAATCTCACTTGAGAGTATACAATCATAAAATAACTCGGCGTGCAATGTGCCGAGCCCAATAAACTGTAACACCTCACTTCGCCGAGAAGACTGATGAGATGACTTCGACTAATAAGGATTCGGAAATCCTTTTCGACCGAGATAGATAACCAGTCGCCCTTGACGCAGTGCTGTCTATGCCGACTGAAGATGCTGCGAGACCGGCTGATTCTACGGCGACAGTGCTATTTATGCCAACTGAAGATATCAATGGTTGTCTTCACAGTGCTGTTTATCCAAACTGAAGGTGTGTCAGCGAAAAGAGAAAGGAAAAAATCTTAAGGTTGTTGAGAGAATTTGCACAGGACAGTTGTGTGTTGAATTTGAGAGAGCTTGGATGATGCATAGCCTCCTCTATTTATAGTATCAGGTCCTCTCTAGACCGAATTAAAACCCTAATCGGATTAGGACTCCTTATTCTAATCAAACACTATCTCGACAAGTCCTATTTTTACTATGACTTTGAACCCAGTCCTTTATCAAACTGTATTCACTTCCGGGTTATTAATATCTTTATCTTGCCGAGACTCCTTATTGTACCAGGATTCAATTACTCGTCTCGCAGCAAGATTTGGCCGACCTAGGCTAGGAAGCCCATGAACTAGGCAATCCACGATAACCTTTTCGTAAGACCTTCCGGGCCGAGAATAAAACTCAGCCCAAACCAACATTTTGAGCCCAAACAGCTACACATTTTGATAAGTTAAGGAACCAATGATAATGAATTTTTAGTTAAGAGACTATTGCTCTAATTTAATTAAAATTGATAGATCATTGCTATAATTTACTCAACATAATTTGACCAAACAAAAATCGCTTGCAGTTGCACATGCAAAGTTTATTTCGCAAATAATTAAGCAAAAAGAAAATTTGCTCGTTCAATTATTTAGGGTTTGTTCGAGTAAATTCATATCAAGAATTTTACATGTATGAGGCAAAGAGCCAAAAAATAAGAACAAAAATTTAAAAAAAATTTAAATTCATCGAGCACACAATTCAATACCCAAATGAAACAGGTCTCCCCGACGGGAATCGAACCGAGTCAGATGGTCTGATATCTCGGTCACCAAACCGAGCCGACTCACTCAAACTATGTCTTCTCTTGGCCACCACCAACTTCCCGTTCCCCTCCTCCTCCTTCACCTTCGCAGCCTTCACCACCGTCTCTTTAATCAGCCTCCAAAACCCATTAACCAGATCACTCTTCACATTCGGCACCGCCAGAAGCCGCCCTTCGCACTCCTCCGACCGCTTCAACGCACTCAGCAACTCGACCGAGTCGCATAAATTCAGACAACTCAGCCTCTCGTCGAACTCGTTGACTCGGACTATAGTTTCATTCATCGCACAAATCTGGTCCTCACCCACCAAACCCAAAATCTCCATCATCAATCTGTTCCCGTCCAAATCCAACGACACGGGCCTTCTGCAAATCTCTTCCATCAAACTCACCAACAACTCGGTCTCTCGGACCAACTCGGCGTTCATAAGGGCGGAGACTCGGTCGTCCTCCTTCTCTTTATCCACAGTGCAGGAATTGGATCCGAGGAAGAAACCCAGAAGCCGAGATGTGAGAAGGAGGTTCTCGACGTACTGAGCGTACCATCGGACCCAGGAGGAGAGTTCCCAAGCTAAAGGGGTAGAATCGTCTCTGAAATTGGAGAGGTTGAGGTAGTTTCTGCCTCCTGCGGCTGGGTAGACGGCGAGCTGGTCCTGGAGGATGAAGGAGCCGTACTTGATCACGTGGTGGACGGCAAGAAGGCACTTGATGGCGACGGCTGAGTCGTGGGTGGTTTGGAGGCGGTCCATGAGGGATTCGACGGCGGCGGAGGCGGTGGCGCGTGAGCTGTTGCCAAAGGAGAGGAGATTGGCGAGGTGTTTTTGGGGTGGGGGTGCAAAGGGGTCATGGGTTGTGGCGCGGAGGAGGGTGAGGTGGAGAGAGTAGGGGGAGGAGGAGGCGGCGGAGGCGGATAGTTTGGAGAGGATGGCTGCTTTGCTTTGAGAGGCTTTGTCTTTGATAGCCCCCATCACGTCTCTCATCTTTCTTGTTTTTCCCATGTCATGTGTTTGTGTCGGCCAAGGGTTTATCGGTCGGCGGGTTCTGATATGAATGAATATCGGAATAGGATACTGTCCGAATTCCCTGAGGATTTGAAGAATTAATCAATTGTGTTCGTTCATTGTATATTTATGCAATTAGAAATCATTTTAATTTTTAATTTAAAATTGAATATAAATAATATCAAATGAAAATTGACCAGACGATGTACAATAAACAGATATGATTGATTGATTATCAGATTCAAGGATCCGGAGAGAATCTTGTCCATCAATATCAATGGCCTTATCATATTTAATATATTTATTGTTGGGAAAGAAAATTCTAATTTAAAGACTTTCAACTAACTCAATACTTTTTTATTATTTATGTTGACCAATTCGTTGGAGGAAATCTTTAAATCAAATGTATTCAGGTCACTTTGAAATATAAGGAATGTATAGGCAAGAAAGTATTGTTCTAAAAATCAACGTCTAGCGCCGTCTAGGTATTAGGCGGCTGGTCATCGTCCAGGTTAATGTTTAGGCATTTGAAAATTAAGAAAGAGAGCTCAGACCTACTAAGACATCCGTCTAGAACGCTTAGGTACCCACTTAGACCCACCTAGGTTTGTAACTCACTTAGACGGAAAATAAATAACTTTCATTTTGCACTTTATTCTTTTCAATAAATTGTAAGAGATTTGTTGCATTCTTAAATGAACACACATTATATTCATGTTCTCCATGTTTTCATTATGTTCCAATACTTCATAAGATATATAATAGATTTACTTAAATGCGCCTAGTACCCATAGGCATCTGCCTAGCTGCCCATGTGCTAGGCCCTAGTCCACCACCCGACTAGCGCCTAGTGTTTTTTATAACCTTGCAAGAAAGTCCTAAAGTTAAACGAAGGTCAAGATATCTTCGTTCATTGTCCAGACCCTAAATGCATCCATTTTGCATTGCAGAACCTACATGGCGTGCAGGACGAAGTAATTAGGAACAAACTACTTTTTTTGGCGGCTTGAATTGTTGATACGAGGATGCCAATTTGCTACTAAGCTCAGCTGAGAAAATATCTTGAATGTGGTGGATGTGGTGAAATGTGCTGTTGACTTTTGAATCAAGTGATTTCAGTCGAGGAATGAACACTCTCTGCCTTGGGTTCTATAACATAAAGATAAGGTTATGCCAATTGTTGTGAGGTTCAATAATGGTTCGGCTATCAATGTGTTGGACTCTAAAAGTAACCTGAAAGTAACACCTCATTCGCTAAGAAAGTAGATAAAGTGATCTATTTCGGTGAAAGATTCAAAATTCTTCGTTGGCTGAGACTTGAGATAATTAATCACTTGGACATGAGAGAATCCCTGTTTAACTAGACAATTGAGATCCCTAAGGCAAACTGACTCTACAACTCCAACCCCATCTATCTAGTAAGTTGCCTTTACTTATTACTTCTAAAAAAAATCCCCGTCTGTCTAGTCGATCATCGTTCGTCAGTTGCCAACCCAAACCTGTCTATCCAGTCGAAATTTGTTTGACAGTTAGTGAACAAGTTAGTTTTCTCAAAAGGTGTGAGATGTTTCACGTAGAGCGTTGATTTCGGTATAGAGTTAAAGGTCAATTTCTTGTTGCCTGATGTCTTGTATTTATAGGATATTTCGTGATGCTCATGTTGAAGAGGTTGATAGCATTGCAACTAGAATCTAATGGCTCTATTAACCACTACAAAGCTTAACTTATTGCCAAGGGTTTCCATCAACGCCTTAGCATCAATTATGCTGCGACTTTAGCCGGGTTGTCAAATTGACCACTATTGAGAAAAAAAAATTGTACAAAATATTGTGGAGTGGAAAATAATCGAGAAGAATATGGAGGTGACATGTGAATTTTAGGCTAAAAATGACAAAACTACCCTCGGGGAACATCGAAACTCCTACTCACGAGCAGTGGACAACCATCCCTCAATCAAGTCAAAAGTGTCCAAAATAGGTATTTATTTAAAACCTATTTCATCCATCCTCATCAAATATTCTACACAAGGTAACCCCCAAATCTTTCCTTTCAAATTATGTTAATTAGCTAATTAATTGATTTATTATTCAATTAATTTATTAATTAGCTACAAATCATGAATCTCACCCAAAAAACCATCCAACTGGCCAGTCCATCTCCTCCCAAAGGGGCTGGCCACACCCCTATATAAACACCCTCATTTTCTCCAAAACTGAAGTTCTACACTCTTGCTAAATTCTCTAAATTCTCCGAACACTTTTCCCTCAAAATTCTAACTTTGGTATCGGAGGTTCTTCGGCCTAAGCATCCCCCCCCCCCACCAATTCATCGTGGGCACGTGAGGCTTTTGGCCATGACCTAAGGTGTTATTTGTTTTGTAGGTGCAATTTTTTCCAAGAGTAAGAAGGAAGAAATTTGCATCCACAAATATGTAAACAAATAATTTACTCGACACAATTTCACCCTCATTCATTTTTCCAAAGATGGTTTTATTAATTTCAGTTCAACCTATTCTAGACTATGCGTCTATTAATTACAATCCTTTGTTAAAAAGGAAAAACCCTTTGATTCCAATATGAATCAATCGTAGCTTGGGGACTTGGGTGTTTGCTTGATTTTGCAACTGCACCTAGGTCAAGCCCTCGATTGCCTACGTACCCTCTTGACGGATCAAGTCACTCATAGTTCCTTTGATTTGGTTTGAGATTTTTAGTGAGTGAATGACCCAATAAAAAAATGGATTTTGTGTTTGGTTTCAACCAAGAATTCAATTTATATGTGGTGAATTTGGTTAAGGTGAACCGGGGATTCAATTTGATATTTTGGATTTGCGGTATTGTCTACAATGTGATACTAGACTAACTACGTATCCTTAACGGAATCAAACCGACTTAGTTCGTTATGTATTTGTTTTTGGATTTGATGTCTTGTGCAGTTTCAGCTCGTGCATGCAAGGACTTTGCGCCACTTGGAGTGGCTGTGTCATTTGGAATTTGAAACGGCTTTATCACATTTGGTTGTCAAATAAAATTAACGGGCAATTTTATGTGAACCCACTAATTTATTATTGACAATTGAATTTGGTTTTGAGCTAGCTTTGAGCGTAATTCAAGATCATTTTAGTGTTGCATATTGCATTATGGAGATCACACCGCGACGTAGTCTTAAAGAAGACAATGCGAATTCTTTTCAGACCTTAGAGCTTGCTGCAAACGGGTTTCTCTCTCAATAATTTGTCTTGGGGAGTCAAATTGCACATTGTTTCTATGATTGAGACTTCGTTGCCAACGATGAGCCTTTCAGGTGAACATTAGTTGAAACCTCGACTTTGGCTTTATTCTTTCTTTTGGTCTTCAAATAGCACGTAGACTTGATAAAAGAAGAATATAGACCACTTCACAATTTAGCTTAGAAGTTGGCAGCAGAAGTTGACTCGCTTGACTCTTGTTTGTCACTTAGGAAAGAAATAGTGCAGCAGGTGGCATAATTTAGCCATAAACGACTTTTTCATTTTGTTCTCCACGTGAGAAACGTTCCTAATAAATTTAGACACCTCCATGTCTACATAGAGAGATGTTGTGCTGAGAACATTCTTGATGAGTAAATTTCGATCTTCTCCGTAAAGGTCACTTTCCAACACTTCCGTGTCTACGTGGAGACATGCTATGCCAAGAGAATGCTTGACGAGTAAATTTTGACCTTCCCCGTAAAGATCACTTTCCGGCACCTCCGTGTCTAAATAGAGACATGTTGTGCCCAGAAGAAGCTTGACAAGTAGATCCGAGCCGCTGAAGATCAACATCTTGGATGAGTTTACTTTTCGGCACCTTCGTGTCTGCGTGCAAACATGTTGTGCTGATAAAGTTCTTGATGAGAGGACTTCGACCATCCTTGTAGAGATCATCATTTGCTTCATTTTCAAGGCTTTGTGCGAGAGTTTTGGCAGCAAAGAGGCTTGGTCGCAGAGGGCATTGTTTGACCACTACGTTGGTATTTCCAATGTGAATTGGGACTTGGAAGCAATGAGCATCGATCTCCTGCACACACAAAGAACAAAGAAAACAAATAGGTTTTATACCTTCAGTTTCGAGGAGTCAACCTCCTTCAATTTATTTCCTTGCTTGGAGTTGTTTGAGTGGATAGTTAATGTTGGACTTAGTGAGAATGGAGGCCTAAGAATACAAAAAGCAAAGGGAGATTTGGGTTCAAACAAGTCGACAGCCTAGGAGGAATTAAAAATTATTTTTGCCAAGGAATAGGCAACAAGCCTACGTGAGAAGTGACACTCAGAAGGGTAGCTTATCCCCAACAAAATGTACTTTCCAAGGGTATGGATAGGTAAATAAGTGGTGACTCACCATGATCCAGAGGCCATCCCCAAAAGGCAAGGCTTAGACAATCGGGCTAAAATGTCTATAAAGCAACAAGGGACACCAGAGACAAGAACACTCAACCAATCAATCAAAAAACATCCAACTTTGCTCTCAGACAAGCCAGAAACCAAAAAACTTCATTTGGTCCAGACTTTGCACTTTTATTGATAGATTCACCATAAAAAGTCACCTTTTGTCAAGTTTTAGAAGTTCTGCTACCTTTTCCCAGTATTGTAGTATCGAATCCCTTTAGTAAATCCGTTTTACATTTCATTCACCAAACATTACAACCCTTGTAAAACACACAAAGAGAAATAGTCCCAAGAAGATGAACCTTACCTGGCAAGGTTATAATCTTGCCCGAGTCTCTTTTGTTTGTGCTTACATAGAGTAGATCTATTATTTAATGTATCTTTCATTGTGTTTTAAATCATTTTCAACTGCTTGTTGTTCAAAGTTTCATCTATGATTAACCTTACTTCTTTAGTATTAACTGTAATCAAAGAAATGTTTGGAAGGGCCCTGAACTCCCTTTATTTGGACCTAGAATATTATGAGTAAAAGTCCTTGTTTACAAGTCAAGAAAAATAACCTTATACAGACTTAAACCATTTGTAACAATCCAAGAAGATCAAAAGTCTAAGTAACTTGTGGTGCAAGTAATCAACTCATTTAATAAAAGAATAATCTATTATACAAAGATAACAGTGGCACACTTAGATCCATATTAGTTTTGATTATGAGTCTTAA